TAAGGTCTGGCTGTATCTCTTCCTAATTACTTGGAAAGTACTTGGATAATTTTCCATGCAGTTGAGGTACGAAGAATGATCTGTATGATTAGCACATGAAACACACCTGTAACAAGAGTGTGCCTGTGACATCAGATGTGTGTATCACTCTCTGTGATGCATGAAGATTTGTTGCTGAGCTGGTTCCCAAAACTAAGTGTGAGGACAGAGTTTATTCTGGCACTGGCCATGCTTTCTGCAGTCTTTCTACAAACCTGATAACAAAATTAGTATCAGGAGTCTAAAATATTTTTTTGCATTGCTATTACCTTCTGAGGAGACTTTAGTAGGAATAATTGAAACATATCCCTGGATAAATAGATATTTTACAACCACCTTAATAGAATCTTTCATTAAATTTACATTCCTGGCTAGAGCTTTAAAATTTTTTTTTCTTGCAACTTTCTGCAGACATAGTAGTGAGAATTAATAAATCAGATCTTGTGGAAAACCAGTTATTTCATAATCGCCTTACTTAATGCTGTTGTCAGGAATGTAAATAAATGAAGGAGTGCAGAGAACGGTATCAGCATTGTAGGATATCCAAGTACCAATTTCGGTGAATAAGAAGCGAAGTTTTGTAAGATGGAGGTAAACAGAAACCAGGTTAGACACAGGACTTTTCTGTGGTGTGCCTTTGGCTGCAGAAGCAGGAAAAATACCTCAAAAAAACTCTCCAAAATAGTGTCAGAGTAGAAGGGTGAAAATGCCGGCTTCCCAAACTACCTAAGGAACTGAAGCCGTGGGTAGTTTGAGGAACTGAAGAATAATTCATTCTGTTGGCTTACCTTTTTTTGAACTGTTTTCAGTATTGCAAATCCTTTGCTTCCTGATAAAATGAATTGGTTCGTCTTTTGTTAAACCTGATCTGGAAGCTAAGCACTCTGAAGCAGTGTAAACGGATATAAATCCGCCATGCAGCCAGCCTCTCCCTTGATCCAACAGTGCTGTAGCATCCACTTGAAAAATACCAAACACATCAGCCAGGCTCTACCAAGGAACCCTACCAGAGATTTCTCCCAGTTCAGAGTCCAGAAACTCAGCGTATTATGGCAGTTTTCTTCAATGCTAAGAATGAAGAGGACAAGTGAGTGTCGTTGGGTAAGAGAGGTACTCTAAGGCTGCTCTAAAGGATCTCAAGGGCCCAAATTTGTTCCACCTTGATTTTGGCATCCTCCCCTGTTGCTGTGCCTGTAGTAAAGACCTACTTCCCATAGGTTTGACTGGGCTGTGATAACTTTGTGTTTTTCCCTGGTCTCCTCTTCCTATAGGTCAAATAAGTCAAGCAAGGGACCTATTTGGATGGTCACCATGTTTGATACTTTTCACTATCGTGGGTAGTGAAAGTGCTGGGAGTTTGTGTTGTCTGCTAGGGAGGCTGGAGGCAGAGCGGCGTGGCCAGGTAGGATGGGGTGGTCTGTTCTCCGAGCGTACAATTACAGCCTAGTTTTTGTTTTAGAATATTAATCTAGCTTCAGATGGGAAAACCTGTTTTTTTATCTACTGTGCTGTCCTGTTAGTTCTTGCAGACCTTTGTGATTGCCAAAATAGGACAGAAAAATGGTTCTGGAAGCTTTCTGTGCAGATAATCTGCCTTAAAGTGTAAACAAGCTAAGTAAAGAGCCAATGATTTTTGAACTGAAAGCCTTATCGCTATCTTTGTGGGAGTAACTCGTGCGAGAAAACTCTAGCATTTGCAGGAATACATGTGATAGGGATACTGGATATACTTAAATCTATTTTACTGGTACCTGCAATGGCCTTTCCGCAGTGCTGTCCCTGAGATTTGCTTTACATGGCTCGCCCCAGTTTGAATGCCAGCAAGCTGCTCCAGTAGCAAGGTGACGTGTGCGAGGCTCATCCCGCTCCCTTTGCGCCGGGTGTGAAGACTTGTTTTCGAAGAGCAATGGCATGCAGTTTAATCCAAGCTCTGAGGTGTGCACCTGGAAATAATGACGTTTGTCTGTTTGCTGCTGGGTCTCAGGGTACTTGCTTTCACTTTGGAAACGGACCTCCCCCTGTATTTGGGTTTGCTTTCACAGCTGATGTCGTGATGCTGTCTCCAACGGCAAGAGCTGATCGGCGCGGGGCAGCCTCCCAGGAAGGCAGACGTTCTGGAATAGCCTAATATTGCAAGTCACCTACTGATACACATTAAAACCTACGAGTATCTATTAATATTGCCCTCTGTTAGAGTGGTGTCACTAGAGAAGGCTGAAGCATGCAGCATCTGTCATTAAATTTTTTTTCATTGCCCTGTGGAGAAAAAAAGTGAGGGGTTTTTTTATAAGTTGTTACGAGTCCCCAAAAGTCAACTAACTTTCGTCTCGCAGTTGTGCTCACATAAGTATGATTTCCTTCTAATAACAGGCTGAAGATGTTCT